GAGGAGGAGGAGGAGGAGGAGGAGGAGGAGGAGGAGGAGGAGGTCGAGGAGGAGCGGGAGGAGGAGCGGGAGGAGGAGCGGGAGGAGGGGGCGGATGAGGGGGATGAGGGGGAAGATGGGGAGAAGGGGGAGGAACACGAGGAATACGAGTAGGATTATCCGGATGTGGACGTGGACGGGATGGCTGACGGCTTTGGGCGATGATGAGGAAGCGATTGGGGGGAGGAGGAGGAGGATTTCCAGGATGCCCGCCCGCGAGAGATCCTGTCGAGACACTCGCGTCTCGCCATAGTCACTGGTAGCTAGCACAGTTCCTCCATGCCTCTGAGCCGCGGCTGAGCGTAGAACCCACATGTGCTGCCACACCAAGGTTTACGGTCTTTCTGATATGTCAGGGCGAGTGAGGGGTGAGTCCAGCCACCAGCTAAGTGCACACGCCGTCCTATAGGAACTCAGGAAGGTTCACTGCACACGGGCTGGAGAGGGAAGTACTCACTTTTTCCCCATTTTGAACAGCATAACTTTGGCAGCAGAGCCTCTACTCACGCTGCAAGCCCTCCTGATCTCGGCCAAGGTGTGGGCAGACACGAAGCGTGCAAGAGCCAAGATGGAGGGTTCCTCCGAAGGGCTTAGGGGGCCCGTCCTCCTCCTCCTCCTCCTCTTCCTCCTCCTCCTCCTCCCTTCTCCTCCCTCCTCCTCCCTTCTCCTCCCTTCTCCTCCTCCTATCCTTATTCCTTATTAGAATATACTCCTACTCCCCCCTCAGGCCGGCCATTAGGGGCCGCATCCGGGGGGTCCCATCCTAACCTGTAAAAAACAATACAAAATCAACATTTTTTTAATTTTTTCCTCTCGACATGGACGTCTTGTCGTCCACGGCGATAATCCATTGCAAAAAACACCACAAAGAGCACACGCGCGCGTTCAGGTCAGAATCCTACCGAACACCTTGTGTTTGCAAGCATTTCAACATAAAAACATCAAAAACCCAATGTTTTTTTTCACAAAAATTGTACAAATTTCCCGCCCGGGCTCTCTTGCTGAAATCATAGGAAAACCATAGGAATCTAAGAATTCGGTCAAATCCAGCGATTTCGCGTCATCGCGCGGTGCACTCGCGATGCTCTGTCATGCACCCAGGCCGCGAATCCTGTGCAAAAAATACCACAAAGAGCACACTCGCGCGTTCATGTCAGAATCCTACCGAACACCGTGTGTTTGCAAGCATTTCAACATAAAAACATCAAAAACCCAATGCTTTTTCACAAAAATGCTTTGGGGTGTCCTGTCAGACCGTCGGGCTTCCTCCGGCCACCTCTGGCTTCCTGCGGTGTACCGGGCCATTCTCGACTCGTCTGGCAATGCGTGCGCGGCATTCAACACGCGCTCGCCAGTTCCCGTCGGCAACCGCCATCGCGGCCGCATCAGCTGTACCAAACCGGCTGGCCGGTGTGACTTCGGCCCCCAGTTGTGCCAGCTTTGCTTCTTATGTTGTGGGAGGGCGGGTGGGACTGGGCATGCCATGCTTGACTCGCTCGAGCTGGCTAGCTTGACTCCTACTCCTATCCTTATTCCTTATTAGAATATACTCCTACTCCCCCCTCAGGCCGGCCGATAGGGGCCGCATCCGGGTGGTCCCATCCTAACCTGTAAAAAACAATACAAAATCAACATTTTTCTTATTTTTTCCTCTCGACATGGACGTCCTGTCGTCCACGGCGATAATCCATTGCAAAAAACACCACAAAGAGCACACGCGCGCGTTCATGTCAGAATCCTACCGAACACCGTGTGTTTGCAAGCATTTCAACATAAAAACATCAAAAACCCAATGCTTTTTCACAAAAATTGTACAAATTTCCCGCCCGGGCTCTCTTGCTGAAATCATAGGAAAACCATAGGAATCTTAAGAATTCGGTCAAATCCAGCGATTTCACGTCATCGCGCGGTGCACTCGCGATGCTCTGTCATGCACCCAGGCCGCGAATCCTGTGCAAAAAATACCACAAAGAGCACACTCGCGCGTTCATGTCAGAATCCTACCGAACACCGTGTGTTTGCAAGCATTTCAACATAAAAACATCAAAAACCCAATGCTTTTTCACAAACATGCTTTGGGGTGTCCTGTCAGACCGTCGGGCTTCCTCCGGCCACCTCTGGCTTCCTGCGGTGTACCGGGCCATTCTCGACTCGTCTGGCAATGCGTGCGCGGCATTCAACACGCGCTCGCCAGTTCCCGTCGGCAACCGCCATCGCGGCCGCATCAGCTGTACCAAACCGGCTGGCCGGTGTGACTTCGGCCCCCAGTTGTGCCAGCTTTGCTTCTTATGTTGTGGGAGGGCGGGTGGGACTGGGCATGCCATGCTTGACTCGCTCGAGCTGGCTAGCTTGACTCCTACTCCTACTCCTACTCCCTCCTCTTCCATCTCCTCCTCCTCCTCCTCCATCTTCTCCTCTTCCTCCTCATCATCATCCATCTTCTCCTCCTCCTCCTCCTCCTTCTCCTCCTCCTCCTCCTCGGGTCGCCTACTTCCCCGGGGGAAACCGTGCAAGCCAAAGGAGAGGGAGGAGGAGGAGGAGGAGGAGGAGGAGGAGGAGGAGGAGGAGGAGGAGGAGGAGGAGGAGGAGGAGGAGCAGGGGAGGAGGAGGGGCCCTACCAGCGCCGCGGGCGCTCTGATCACCCGAGAGCTGAGGCAGCCATGTGGAATCAAAACCGGCAACGCAACAACCTCTTCCGAGGAGCAGGAGGCTCCGAACCAGACGGGCCTTAGGCTCGATGGTGCGCAATCTGACACGACAGTCCTGCGAGACCCGCGCGCGCGGCGGCCTCATCAGCACTAGAGTCAGCACACGCACTGCACAGCACTGACCACGGTGGCATTCGTCGCTTGACAACGTCGGCCCCCGTCACATGTGAGGGCACTTGCATCACAGCTATGCTCGTGGGAATTCGTCCCTGCGAAACCAGCAGTTTGCCGATCTCCCACATGTCTGACTGTGAACCCTCTGGTCTTCTGAAAAGCTCTGCATACCATCCCCCTCGACCTCGTCGCAATCGGTGATATGAATATGAACCCCTACGCTATACATGAGAGCCCATTCGAAAGCACACAGCTCTCCCCTAGAGGTCCCATGATGAGAGGACCTAAGACGAGAGATATGAATCTAGAGAGAGGAGCCATAGCCACGCCCTCGCGCCTAAGACGGGGATCGTGGGTATTCGGTCCTCCCGAGGCGTCCCCCAAAACGATGAGAGGCTGCAGGACCGTGCCCCGGCCCAGACACCCAGGACCCAAGAGCTCCCTCTCCAGGTGGCCCCCAGAGATCTGCTCGACCGAGGGCGGAGGAGAGAGGGTCAGGCGCTCCCAAGAAAGGGAAAGGCCTCAGACTCAGCAGCTGCCTTCAGGAGGAGGTCGCTAGACTCAGCATAGGCACATGACCCCGTATTTTTTCGCGCAGGTCCAGCAGCGGGACAGAGGCGTGTCGGCCTCCAGCCCGCATCGATCGCATATGCCATCGTCCTTAAGGCCGGCTGCCCGAGGTCGTGCTTCAGGCCGGCAGCTTCCCGCAGCCAAGGAAACCAGCCACTCTGACCTCTGTGGCCCCGTAAGGAAACCGGCAACTCTGACAACTTTGGTCCTTTGCGAGGTTGCAAGAGCCGTAGACGCGCTAACGGCAATGTAGTTAACGGCGATGTAGGTTTCGGCATTGTAGGTGGGAGTGGTATGTGGCCACACCAATTGTAGGACATGGTGGTTCGTGCTTTCCTACACGTCGCTGCGTCGGTATCGCTCATTACATTTGCACATTTGAACTGTAGGAAAGTGTGGTTCATGATTTCCTACAATATGTTCTGCGCGAGCTCGGTGTCACAGACATCATATTCCCACTATCGCTGTTAAAACCAACCATCGCCGTTAGCGCGGCCTTGGAAGAGGTCGGACATCGTGAGACGTAGTGACTGCATGTCGGCCCCGCTCTCCAGGCCCTCCAGCAGCACAGATTGGCCGCTTTCTTCCACTGCTTGAATTCGTACGTCCGCTGCAGCTCGTCCAAGAGTGGGGTAGCCCGATCAAGCGCTTCGAAATCACTGCCATGGAATAGTCACGCATGTGTGCCGGAGGAACCGTTTTTCGGCACATCCCAGTGTGTAGGTGAGTTAGGCGATCACTCAGCTTCAAGCAAGTAAAGACTCACCGCAGTCATGCGCCCACGAACGTGCCTGACCCTCTGTCCCGCAGGAAGCGAACGCAGATGTGCAACAGCCTTGGGCCACGCAAGCTCGACGGACCGACGGAGACGGACTTCTAACAGCCACGCCGCAAGTCATTGAGACACACACACTGCCGAGAGAGCAGGCAACCATGGCCACAACTTTAGGGGAACAAAAGTAACATAAACATGACAACTCGGAGGTCCGCGCGGATTTCTCGGATCGGCGCTGGAGCCCCCTCCCTGGCGCGCGGAGCGCGCCAGGGGCGGCGCCGGAGGCGCCGCCGGGGGGCCCCAGCGCCGATCCGAGAAATCCGCGCGGACCTCCGATGTTTTACTGTTTATGTCACTTTTTGTTCACCTGGAGAGAGCAGGCAACCATGGCCACAACCTGGCAGCCGCAGGGATCATGGTGTGGTCAAGCATCGGCCTCTTCTGGCTGAGCCTGCCGCAGCTCCGAAGCTCCGACGCTGAGCCGGCATCCCCGACCCAAAAGGACCGCGCACGCGACGTCCGCAGGCTGCTGCTGACTGCGGCCCCGCGCGCTGGAGCTTGGCACGGGCCTGCCAGCGGCGAGCGGCCTGTGCAGAGCGCCGGAGTCTCAAACAGTGGCGAAGCGTCCTGGCTCGCCTATAGCCCCACCCAAAAAATGTTGTAAGAACCTGTTGTGGCTTCCACGAAATATTATTATAACAGTTATTGTTGATATTGTCTTGTTTTAACACGTCGGGTGTATGATGTAAGAACATTGTTTTGTTATCAGAACACGTTTGGATTCGAAGAACATTTCGTGGTATGGCTATAGGAATACCGGGACGGTCGGTCCCTGCTCAAGAGTCGGGCGTGAGATTGCCGGGACTTGAAAGAGCGCTGCCGTATTGTGGCGCGTCCGTGCCTGTTGCCACTGCTCAGGTCGACGCCGAGGTACGCCATCTGGAGTGCTGCACGTAGGCGGATGCCCCCACCGCTACAGCACCGGCGGGATGAGAACATGTGATTACACTCTTTGTCGGCCAAACCCAAGCGCAAATGTTGGAACTCATTCGCTGTGGTGATGCCGCCGCGAAACACAGTAAATCTTACATGCTGCCTGGATCCAGATACTCGCTGAGGCAAGTCGTCAATCCAAATGCGTTGTCTAAGAGAGGTGTGAGCTTCACAGAGGCGCTCACACGCTCCTGCCGTGATGCATTTGCCGAAGCGCGTGTCCTTCAGAAGGCACTGCACCACTGAACCCGCCACCTCGAAAGGTTCCGAGAATGAGTTCAATTGCTACAGCTTCCGCGCAGCTATAATTGAAGTTCCAGGACAAGAAATTGAGGACAACCTTTAGCCACAGTGCATTCGGTGAGGGGGTCGAACCCGATAGAGTCATGAAAGGAGGCGAAGTCCCAGAGGGTGAAGCCGTGAGGGATCTGAAACCGAGTGTGTACTTCGTCCTCCAGAGCACGTACAAACGCCTCTCGTAAGGCGTTGTTCTCTGCAGTGGCCGCATCCCAATGGTCGGACTCCGCCTGATCAATTGTCCACTCTGTCATGTGCGGCTCACGCGCCATGGACCACACTCGAGCGAGCATGGAAATCAAACCGATGACTCGATCTCCGCCCGCTTTCTTCCCCAACAGCTTTCTAATCACGCACGTACTTTGCCAACGTCATTTTAACCCTTCGTCAATGATCACGAACAGATCACAAAGAGCCTGAACACCTTCACCTGGTAGACGCTGGAAGTCTACAGAAGACAATCTGTCAATGCCGAAGCCAACCCGCGGTTTCACGCAGGCCAGGGCCGCACGAATTTCATCGACAGTGAAAGGGGCCAGCTGCTCGATCTCAGCGCTGGTGCGAGTCCGCTAACAAGTCCTCAGGATCGATTCCCTAATGGCCACGCTGGAGCGCCACTTGGCAGGATATTTATCCAGTTTGCGACCAACCGTATCTTCAGGATGTACCAGGACTGTGTTCTCGAGGATCTCGTGCAACTCGTCACGTTTGGGATCAAGATCCGGGATACGTTTGTGAACAGCTCTTTGAACGTCTAAAGACGAAAGCTATTGTTGGAATTCACGAAGGGAAGCGGCTGCTGCCTTGTCGTGCGCCCTCTTGGGCGCCCGAAACGCACGCTCCGCCAACGTTGCATAACGGTCGATGTCGAGTCGACCAGCCTTCGCACATCATTCATAAACATGTCCCAACTGCCTGTGCCCGCAGGGAAAGCAGCGCCTGCTCCATCCAGCGGTTGGTCTGCCAGTCGAGCACCTGCAGCTGACAGATGAACCAGTTGAGCGGCTCCGTTCTGACGACGACGATGCCTGAGGACCCGCTGCACCATGTTTGTGTACACGAGGCCATCCATGTGTATTTGCCGTCCTTCAGTGGTTGCTGTCGGACGTGTTCCGCCTGCTTGACTGCCACAACCTTGAGCTCACAACCGGTGCCGCGCGACTTGGAGCAAGCGCCGAGGTCTTGATGATCGAGAATCGTCCGTTCAGCTGTCTCGACCCCTCTGGAGAAAGTCTTCCATAGGGAACTGTAGACCGTGAGGGCCGCCTGCAGCGAGAGCAAGCGACAGTCCGATAGGGGGCCAGACGTCGTGAGTAGCGCGTGCCTGCCAAGCTGCCTGGTCCACCACCGGCTGCCCATTACATTAAGGGTTCTTATTGTGGTGGGTCTGTTTGCACAATTTGCGAGGGCAAGTTGTGCGGTGGTGTTTTTGCTTTGCGATGCTATGCCATGCGATGCTGCGCTGTGATGTGCTTTACGATTATATGCTGTGCCATGCTTTGCTATGCTGTGCTATGGCACACGACGATGCTATGCGGTGTTATGCGACGATGTGCTCTGGTATGTCATGATATCCCATGCTATTCCATGCTGCGCTATGCGATGCGACGCGATTGTATGCGATGCTGTTCCATGCCAGGGTATGCGATGCGATGTTATGAAATGATCTGCCATGCTATGACCAGCTCTGCTTTGACATGCCATGGCATGCTATGCGTCGCCGTGCCATGCAATGTATTGGTATGATTTGCTGTGCTATGCTATATCACGATCCCATTTGCAATGCTATGATTCGATGTGCTGCGATATGAGGTACCAGCTGATTGTATGCCATGCTGTGCAATACAATGCCATGTTAGGTTATGCCGTGTTCTGTCACGCGATGCTTGGCAATGCGATGCAGAGCGATGCTGCGCTATAGTTCCAGTTTGTCCCTCCCGCAACCTCCCTATCACCCGAAGAGTGGTTGTGTTTGTTGGCCCTTCCCAAATTAAGTCGAACCACCCTTGCCCCTCGTTGCGCATGTTATTCTAGCTTGAATGTCGCGCGAGTAGCCGCTTGGCTCAAAGGGGTGGCTCAACGCACCTGGGGAAAGCAGTGTCAGGGGGATCTACTGCGCGGGATGGTGTTGGTTGCGCCGCCGCTTCGTTTTGGGCCCCAGCCACTGGCGGGAAAGCAGGCGAAACCTAGGCGCGCTGAGGGGAGGCCGAAGCCGACGGCCATGCGGGCGACCCAGAAGAAGGCCGAGGCACAAAAGACATTTCAACATGTTGTGCGCTCCTCGCCGCGAAAGCTGAGTCCATCGAGGGCGTCGTCGAGGCCTCTCCCACGGAGGCCGCGGTCATGCGCGGCGGTCAAAGCGACGAAGAGGTCACAAGTTTTGAATATGACGTCCCCGCCGCTGGCAAGAAAGGTTCCCACAAGTGGAAAGGTTTCGCAGACTCTGTCGCGAAAGCGTCCCCTCTCGGATGACATGCTCCAGGTGTTTGACGGGGCCATTTCCGAGGCGCAGCATCTGGAAAGCCATGCGGGTTGCAAAGGTTTCTGCATCCGGTGCGATTTGCAGAAGCGACCTAAGGTCTACGAGGCGTGTACCCTCTACGAGGGCCGGTCGTGGTTGTCACGAGGCGTTAGCCGCGGCATATGGGGCCTGGGGTGTAGGATCTGCTCTGAGTTTGCGGCATCTGGCAACCAGTGTGACGGCGCCAGGTTTTCAAAGTTTGCCAAGTTCCAGATTCGCCCGAAGACGGGCTTCAACGCCAGGATGCTGTTAGAGCGACATGCCAGCAGCACGTCGCACAGAGTGGCCTGTGGGATTACAAAGAGAAAGGGTTCCGACATGTTCGCTCAGCCGATTGCACCACAGCCTCTGGCGTGCCCGACCGTTTGGCCAACCGAGAGGCCATGCGAGTCTCTGGCGACTGAGTCTGATTCCAGGCTGATTAAGGGAAACGCACCGACCCCATCGGAGTGGAGAGACGCGTGGGCGGTGCTATCAGAAGGAGTCTCTCTCCGGAAGGCCGCTCGCGTCAGCGATAAGAGAAGCCGCGCGCCTGATCCGGCGGCGACGCAGGCGAACAGAATACGGAAACGCCAGCGCCGACAACTCCAAGTGATGGCGGAAGTCCTGAGGAGAAGGATCCGCAAAACGCTGCTCCAGGCGACTTCCATCTCTTTGGCCATAGATGAGTCGAAGTACCGGAAGATCGTGCGGTTTCGCGTCGACCTCCCGATTGCCGCCTGCACCGCAGCCTCTGGCGCGCCCGACCTCCCTTCTTCGCGAAACAGCGGCGCGGGCCTCCACGTGGGGAACGTTGGCGCTTCAGGATTTTGCGCGTCCGGCGTGTTAGGCCTCCTCGACTGCTCGAAAAAACACGCGTCCGACTTCGAGGATGACCACGCTGTCACTGCGGTTAAGCAGCTCGATGACTTTCTTACGAAATTCTGTACGCCGCTCGGCAAAATAAAAGGCCACAGGGGAGCGCAGCCGCTGGCGTGCGACCAGAAACTGAAAGCGCACGTGCTGGGAACAGTCACCAGTTTTGCTGCCGATGGCGCGTCCAAGGAGCGGCGTTCAGTCTTTCTCGCTGCTCGCGATCTGTTCCCTAACTTGTTAATCGTGATTCGCGACCCAGCTCACGCCATTCGCATTGCCTGCAAGTCGATGCACTGCGACGACGTGTTTGGGCAGGTATGGAGGGAGCTGTTCGATGATCGGCATGCGCTGGTTCCTGACCTGATGAATTCTACCAAGTGGCACAACCTTCTGGTGGCCATCCAGGAGGACAACGCGCATGCAGTGGCGGTGCCTGGACTCCCTGGAGGGCCCCAGCCCCTGGCGGGAATCGTGCGGAACTTGGCGTTCGCCAAGCAACGCTTCGACTCGACGGCGGGCCCCGTGTTGAAAATCGCTCTCATGCTTCTGCCGGTGGCAACCTTGCTGGCGTACATCGCGTCCGACCGTCGCCACGATCGGGAGCAGCGCGAGCGGGCAGGCGCCCTGTTGCGGAAATTCGATACTAAGTTTTGTATGGCCGTTGGTGTGTCGGCGGATTGGGGGATCATATGCAACTGGTTCTTGCGGCTCTTCGACGTCGCCAGCCACGACATTGCGAAGTCGCGTTCTGAGATCGACTGCATGGTCGAGACGTTGGACGCGGTCTTCCTGCAAGGGCGTGTCTTCCAGACGGTTCTCCAGGCCGCCCGCCCCCCCGCGGCAGCCGCAGCCTCTGGCGTGACCGCCCCAGCTGCCGAGGAGCCGCTGCCGCCGCGGCTCCGCGCGGTAGGGCATGAGGCGGGCTTTATCACAGAGAGGGCAATGCGCAATCTCCGCACCAAGTATGTGTTCTACGCAGACGGCGACCCCGTGATGCCATGGGGGGAACCAGCAGCGGCGCACAAGGAGGAGCTCCTCCACCGAATGCAGAACGTGGCGGGATTGACAAAAGAGCGCTTGCTCCAGGACTTCCCGCGGACTGACGTCCGCTCGGCGCTGGCGATGTTTGACCGGCGTCTCGTGCAGAAAGGTTTCGGCCCAGTGCCTGATGTTGAAGTGCGGCGGTTCCTGTTGCGGGGCGCGCGCCAGCTGGCGGCCCTGCTCGGTTGCGACGAGCAGGCGGCGATGCGACAGTACGACGGCGTGCTTCCCTACACGATGGAACAGATGGAGCCATCCCAGCCACTGGCGGGGGCAACTAACCAGCAGGCGTGGGCTCGCGTGCTCGACGATGACTTTTGGGAGGCGGCTTGCCCGAGGCGTCTCCGCGGGTCTTCTCGCGTGCTCTGCCGCCTGGTGCGTTTCTACATCTCGATTGAAGACGGGGAGTGCACCGTCGAACGCGACTTGGCCAGATTTCGGGACCGACGGGTAGAGCACCGCACCGATGATATCGCCTTCCACGACGACGGCTTAATCGTGAAGTTGAACGGGCCGAAGACGGCGGCTGATTTCGACGAAGGCGCAGCTCGCTCTGGACTGGGCCTGACGTCCTTCTCCAGGGAATGCGCCAGCCTCTGGCTGGAACTGTTCGGCCATCGGCATGGGCATTACAATCCTCACGCTACTGCGGCGGCCAAGTTAAAGAGGCGCGGTGCGCCCGGGCTTGTTCGAGGACGTGTTCGGGCCGTTCTTGGGGCCGCCCGCCTGGCCGTGGCTGCCGCGCGTCTTCGACGGGCGCGGGGCCAGTCTTCGACCGCGGTGCATTCTGGCGCCGGCACCGAGGCGAGCGCTTTGTGGAACGATGGCATGGGTAAGTTCCAGGCGCGCAGCCGCAATGATATACCAGGCGTCGCGCAGGCGCGGGCGTGTCCAGGGGCGCCCTTCGCGAGTCCGCCCGGCGTCCACCTGGCTCCAAGACGAGGTGCGACGACGCAGCCTCTGGCGCGGCCCTCGCCGTGCAGCAAGGTAGCAAGCCTCGGCGGCGCGACCGACGCGTGCCCTGCGAGAGGTTGCGCTACTGTCACTGGCAGACACCGTTGTGCAGAAGCAGACCTCGTCGTCGTTCCAGACTTTTCGGTCCTCCACGACTTGGATGCGATAGCAGCCAGCGCGGACCTGACCGTCTCTTACTTTTACATCGCGTCGCTGGGCCTCGACGTCGTAACGAAGACACACCTTGTCTCTGCCCAGTGCCACCCAGATGGAATTGCACTCGGCCAACGCATGCGCCACGTTCCAGCAAACCAGCGCGGGGAGGTGATCCATCTCGCGCCAGGCCTCGTCGCGGGGCATCCAGACGTGAGGGCGGCGGCGCGGCGCGTGGCCCGCAGAGCGGGGTCGAAACTCGCAGTGTCGGAAGCGCCCCCCCCAGCCGCTGGCGGGACGTGTTTCTCGAGTCTGCGCGACGTCGTCGCATGGGCGTCTGCAGCGAGGAAAGTGAGGAATGAAGGTGGGCCCAAGGCAGTGACCGTGGACGGAATGCCAATGCGCGCCTGAGGAGCCCAATGGGGAAAAGAGAGAGAGAGAGAGAGAGAGAGAGAGAGAGAGAGAGAGAGAGAGAGAGAGAGAGAAAAAAAAACGTTTCGCGTGTCCCTGGAAGCACGTCCAGGCGAGTTGTTCTGGTCAGGGATCTGTAGCATCGCGCAGTGCCAACAGGGGTGGGAGGTTGCGCAAGCCATGATACCGAAGCTTTGGACCAGCCTAATCAGACACAGGGGAGAACCGCGCACGGTTTCGCGGTTCTTGTCGAAAGATGGGGCGGGAGGGGGGAGTGGGGGGCAGGCCATTAAAGTAAACCAGACACTGCCAAAAAGTAGACCAGACCACCCGCAAGTAGACCAGACCCTTCCAAAAAGTAGACCAGACCCTGCCAAAAAGTACACCAGACCACCCATAAGTAAACCAGACCCTGCCAAAGAGAAGACCAGACCCTGCCAAAAAGTACACCAGACCACCCATAAGCAGACCAGACCCTACAAACATGTAAACGAGAACCTGCCGAAAAGCAGACCAGACCACGTATAAGTAAACCAGACCATGCCGAAAAGTAGACCAGGCCCTGCCAGAGAGCAGACCCGACCACCCAAAAGTAAAGCAGACCCTGCCAAAAACCAGACCAGACCCTGCCAAAAAGTAGACCAGACCACCCAAAAGTAAACCAGACCCTGCCAAAAAGTAGACCAGACCCGGCCAAAAAAGCAGACCAGCAGACAACGTAAACCATACCCCGCCAAAAAAGCAGACCAGAGCCTGCCAAAAATTAGACCAGACCACGCATAAGTAAACCAGACCCTGCCAAAAAGTGGACCAGACCCTGCCAAAAAGTAGACCCGACCCTGCCAAAAAGTATACCAGACCACCCATAAGCACGCCAGACCCTGCCAAAAAGTAGACAAGACCCCGCCAAAAAGTAGACCAGACCACTCATAAGTAAACCAGACCCTGCCCAAAAGTAAACCAGACCCTGCCAAAAAGTAGACCAGACGACCCATAGGTAAACCAGACCCTGCCAAAAAGTAAACCAGACCATGCCAAAAATTAAACCAGACCACCCGATGGCGAACCGGACCCTGCCAAAAAGTAGACCAGACCCTGCCAAAAAGTAGACCAGACCACCCATAAGTAAACCAGACCCTCCCAAAAAGTAGACCAGACCCTGCCGAAAAAGTAGACCAGACCACCCATATGTAAACCAGACCCGGCCAACAAGTAGACCAGACCCTGCCAGAAAGTAGACCAGACCACCCATAGGTATACCAGACCCGGCCAACAAGTAGACCAGACCCTGCCAAAAAGTAAACCAGACCCTGCCAAAAAGTAGACCAGACCCTGCCAAAAAGTAGACCCGACCCTGCCAAAAAGTAGACCAGACCACCCATAAGTAAACCAGACCCGGCCAAAAAGTAGACCAGGCCCTGCCAAAAAGTAGACCAGACCACTCATAAGTAAACCAGACCCTGCCAAAAACCAGACCAGACCCAACCCAAAAGTAGACCAGACCACCCATGAGTAAACCAGACCCTGCGAAAAAGTACAACAGACCTTGTCAAAAAGCAGACCAGACCACCCATTGGTAAACCAGACCCTGCCAAACAGTAAACCAGACCCTGCCAGAAAGTAGACCAGACCACCCATAAGTAAACAAAGCCCCGCCAAAATCAGATCAGACTCTGCCAAAAAGTACACCAGACCACCCGTAAGTAAACCAGTCCCTGCCGAAAAGTAAACCAGACCCTGCCAAAAAGTAGACCAGACCACCCATAAGTGAACAAGACCCTGCCAAAAAGTAGACCAGACCTTGCCAAAAAGTAGACCAGACCACTCGTAGGTAAACCAGACCCTGCCAAAACGTAGACCAGACCCCGCACAAAAGTAGACCAGACCACCCGTAAGTAAACCAGACCCTGCCAAAAAGTGGACCAGACCCTGCCAAAAAGTAGACCAGACCACCCGAAAGTGAACAAGACCCTGCCAAAAAGTAGACCAGACCTTGCCAAAAAGTAGACCAGACCACTCATAGGTAAACCAGACCCTGCCAAACAGTAGACCAGACCCTGCCAAAAAGTAGACCAGACCACCTACAAATTGACCAGACCACCCAGAAATGATATACCCCAAAATACATAGAACCCGCCAAAAAGTGGACCAGACTCTGCCCAAACGTACACCACCCGTTCGCCAGTCGACGATACCCCGCCCACGAGTACACCAGGCCGCCCAGCAGTAAACCAGACCCCGACCACAAGTATACCAGACCACCTTTCCAAGCATGGCTGGGCATCCAAAAGTGTGTTTGAGAAGACCACGCATCGCAGCTGATCGGTTCAAGTGCCCAGCGCTGGCAACGTGGCCCGCGCGCCTCTGCTTGCGCCACCTCGTTCATTCGCGCGCATGGCGCCCAAAGATGGAGGGGGCCCCGCGGCGAAGAAGCCGCGCACGGCGCAGGGGCCCCCTGCGCAGCAGCCGACCGATGCGCCGCCTGCGCCGTTGCCTTCACCGCCAGGGCCACTGGCCGTCACGGGGCTGCTGGAGATGGAGTCGCTGAAGGCCCAGACGGACCATCTTCGTAGTTGGGCCAAGGGGGCGAAGGATTACGTCGACAAGGCTCTCCTGAAGTTCCTGACAGATCGACGCACGCAAGTTTCCTTCAAAATTCTGGGCTCCGTCATGCTCATCCCTCCCCTGCAAATTTCTGCTGCAGCCTCTGGCGCGAACTTGTCGGCGTTCCGGGAGGTCATGAACTACGACAACGTGCAGATGAGTTTCTCTGAGACGGGGCAATACGAGGCTGCGGGGACAGTCTGGATGCTCGACCCGTTCGCCGGCGACGCGACCGACTCCGTCACCATTGGCCAGCTCGATGCCGCCATGGGGATGTGGTCTGAGGAGAAGCTCTTGCTGTCATCCGACCACCCGCCGTCGCGGCGCTACTCGTTCGACGTGCCGCTCCCCGCGCGAGTGGTCAACGCCAAGGTGGCGCAGCGCATGGACGCAGGCGAATCTTCTGTACTCATGGCAACGGGCGTGCCCATGCTGGCGGGGCACGCGCTTGTGATGGCTTGGCATGGCGCCATGGCAGAGGCGTTGTCCACCGACAACACTGAGCGTGCATTCGAGTTGTTTGAGGCAGCTCTGAGTGTGCCAATCAGGCTGCGTCTCAGCCCCGATTCGGACGCTTGCCAGCTGGCCGCGCTGATGTTCTCTGAGACCATGTTCACCGCGTCCGCAGCCTCTGGCGCGGATTCCTTTTGGAAGCTGGCGGAGAAAGTGGCTCGACTTACAAGGTACCAGAAGGCTATGGCCGACAGCCTGTCCCTGCCGAAATTGTTCGCGGCCCTCAAGAGCTACGGGCTCGCGTTCAAGGGCAAGCCGCTCGCCGAGTCACACGCGAAGTGCTTGAAAAACTTGACGCCTTTCGTCGGGGATGAGGCGCGCGTCGTGGCATACTCTTTGTCGGGGGCTTTCTGCCCTGAGCTCCGCGAACCCACGTTGTTGCTGCGGTTGGCTCAGTTATGCAATGGAAGGGCGGCGTCTTCCAAGGCAGACAAGGACGCGACCTCCCGCGAGTCGATGGTGTTCATCATGGACTGCCTGCGCGTGGCCCGGCTGACCGGCGACGCCCCTAGGGGGGAGGGCCTGACCTTGAGCAAGGTCACGGAACAGGAGAAAAAGTCCCCAGCGATGGCGCACGTGCTCTTCAAGAAACAAGATCTCATGGCGTACATTCTTCACGAGGCGGCGATGATCGACAAGGCAATTGCGGTTTCAGTCTCCATGTTTCGCTCGCCGCTTGCCGTCTTGAAGCACTTCTCAGCCACTGGCGAGGAAGATGGCTTAGCTGCTCAGTTTCGTCGAGACGAGACCCCGACGCGTGACTCCGGAGGGGGGTTCGAAAACACATTCGCTGTCCCAGTGGCCAACTACCGCGACCAGCAGGGCCAGGACGGGAAGACGCAGGCGGTCATCGACTTCGCGCGGGGCGTCTGGGCTGGCCATGTCGACGCGGAGCTCGAGGAGCTTTGCGCCCAGGACCTGCAGGGAGGTGCGCCCGGATTCTTGTGGCACCGGTACTTCAACGAGAGCACCAAGGAGATGGGCGTCAAGTACCGTGCGCTCGTCGCAGCTTGCTCGGCAGGCCCCATTCCGGCGGACCCTGCCGCGAAGTCGGCCTCCGGCGTGGTCTTGGGGGCGTCGGAGCTCGAGGATGGTGACCAGGAGGAGCTCCGCAAAACCCAGGAGTTGCTGATCTCTCTGCGCAGGAAGACCGTTTCGTTCGTTGCGCTGCCGTCGGTCGGCGGGGTGTCTGGCGCGGAATACAGCACTGCCCAGTTGCAGAAGGTTTGGGAAGAGATGCGTCTCGGACACAGGTACGGCAGGAAAAAAAACTGACGTCCGAGCATTCGTTCTGGCGGCCGACCTGTTCCCCCCAAACGTGAGCAAGAGCGGGGTGGCGGCGAACTTGGGCGAATCCGTCGGTTGCGATGCGGACCGCTTCGGGCGCGTGCTGGATTTCGTCTGCCAGAAGCGCTCGGTTCACGATATCGTGATCTTCCTCGATGGGCGGAGCCGCTCGTGCCGCAAGCTGATCGAGGAGAAAGAGGACAGTCTCGCAGCCTCTGGCGCGCACGCCCTGACGGAGTGCTGGTGCGTGTACGTGCAGCCGACCAAGCAAGAGGATCCCAGAGTTCCGGGACGAGTGACTTCTTTCGCGTGCAACAACAAGGAAGTGGCCATCTGCTCGATCCCGAAGAGAGGCGCCATGAAGGTAGTGGACCGCGCGGAGTTCAACTCGTGCGGCGAGTCTTCGAGTGCGGCAGCGACGTACACGGGCGTGCCTATGCGGCAATACTGCGAGCTTCCGCGCATGACTTACGAGACGAAGGCTTCAATCCTGGGAAACGCAGCCGCTGGCGCGGTCAAAGGGAAGCGCGCGCAGAAAGACATCGAATCGAAAGGGCACCCCTTCTCGCACCTCGAAGTGAAGCCATTGCATTTGTGGCAGCGTCTCTGCGAGCACCGCCACATCACCCACATCGTTGACTTCTCGGCGGGGTCTGCCGCGTTGGCAATCGCAGCCGCTGGCGCGATGGAGTACGAGGGCGTGGCGGCGAACGAGGTGCACCGGGAGTGGCTCGATTCGACCATGGACCGATGCGCGATGTACTTGGCGGGGCGTGACAAGAACTTCGCGAAGATGCTCGGCGGCGACGAGGCCTTCGTCGAGAAAGTGGAGAAGTACTTTGCGGGGACGATGATGGAGGCGCGGCGCATGCTCGAGCCAGTCCAGGACGCGGCGGAGGGCGATGGGGGAAGCGAGGACTCGGCGGAGGATTAGATCGCAGGCGCGCGTTCGCGGGGGGGAAGATGCCGCAGCCTCTGGCGCGCCGCTGGCGCGGCCAGGCCCTCCCACGGTGGCGAAGTTTTGAGCGCGTCGCTACTCCAGCGAGAGAGAAGTTTCGGGGGTGGTCCCCTGGGCGCGCGCGTAAGCGTGCTAGATCGCAGGCGCGGCAAATTTTGATGTCAAGACCACTCTCCTGCCCGGATGGGGCAACTTCCAGACACGCCTTCGGACGTGCGCGGCGAGTGTGCACAACAGTGGAAACAATGGTGAACGGAGAGTAAGGTGGTGATGATGATGATTATGCCGAAGATGATGACATTGATGAAGATGATGGTGATGATGATGATGAGCATGATGATGATGAAGGGTGAGTGATGGTGGTGGTGATGATGATCATGATGATGATGATGACGATGATGATGATGTTGGCGGTGATGGTGCTATTGATGATGATGGTGATGAAGATGGAGAGGCGCATGAAGACCCGAGGGAAGAAAACGGGGCCGGTTCTGGAACCGAGGGAAGAAAACGGGGCCGGTTCTGGAACCGAGGGACGAAAACCGGGCCGGTTCTGGAACCGAGGGAAGAAAACCGGGCCGGTTCTGGAACCGAGGGAAGAAAACCGGGCCGGTTCTGGAACCGAGGGAAGAAAACCGGGCCGGTTCTGCAACCGAGGGAAGAAAACGGGGCCGGTTCTGGAACCGAGGGAAGAAAACGGGGCCGGTTCTGGAACCGAGGGAAGAAAACAGGGCCGGTTCTGGAACCGAGGGAAGAAAACCGGGCCGGTTCTGGAACCGAGGGAAGAAAACGGCACCGGTTCTGGAACCGAGGGAAGACAACGGGGCCGGTTCTGGGACCGAGGGAAGAAAACCCGGCCGGTTGTGGAACCGAGGGAAGAAAACCGGGCCGGTTCTGGAACCGAGGGAAGAAAACCAGGGCGGTTGTGGCACCGAGGGAAAACCGGGTCGGTTGTGGAACCGACCACCAAACAGGTCGAACATGTTTTCTTCTCTCGGTTGCGCAACCGAGTGAAGAAAAACATACGTGATTTGGCATGTTGGGTGTCAGGTTGTGGGCGCTGTATTTGATTCTTTATGACGCCCACAACTTGGACCACAACATACCAAATCAGGTATGTTTTTCTTGTGTCGGTTGCGCAACCGACAGAAGAAAACACGTCCGGATTTTGAAAAAGTTTTCTTTTGTTGTGGTCGGTTCCAGAACCGGCCCGGTTGTCTTCCCTCGGTTCCAGAACCGGCCCGGTTTTCTTCCCTCGGTTGCAGAACCGGGCCGGTTTTCTTCCCTCGGTTCCAGAACTGGCCCGGTTTTCTTCCCTTGGTTCCAGAACCGGCCCCGTTTTCTTCCCTCGGTTCCAGAACCGGCCCCGTTTTCTTCCCTCGGTTCCAGAACCGGCCCGGTTTTCTTCCCTCGGTGCCAGAACCGGCCCCGTTTTCTTCCCTCGGTTCCAGAACCGGCCCCGTTTTCTTCCCTCGGTTCCAGAACCGGCCCCGCCTTCTTCCCTCGGGTCTTCATGCGCCTCTCCATCATCATCACCATCATCATTCTCATCAATATCATCATCATCGTCATCATGATCATCATGATGATCACCATCATCATCATCCCCACCATTACTCACCCCTCATCATCATGTGCTTCTTCGACCACCATCATCCGCCCACCTTTGTTCCTTTTCATCCTCCTCCCGCCTGCCTGTTGCGACGCCTGCTGCTGCTTCTGTTGCTGCTGCTCCTCCTCCTCCTCCACGTTGTGCCTGATCCTTGTCGCCGTCCCACTTATGAGCGGGGTCTGGTCTCCATGTTCGGACGGTCTGGTGTCATTTTGAACGGGGTCTGGTTTACTTTTCGGTTCTCTGCTTCATTTGTGGGCGGGGCCCGCTACCCTTTTGGAAGGGGTCTGGTCTACTTGGTGGTGCTTTGGCTTACTTGTGGGTGGGGCCTGCTCTACTTTTGGGCGGCATGGCTCGGTGGCCTTTCAGGTGCGGGTGACTTTTGGGCCAGGTCTGGTCTGCTTTCTTGGCCGCCTTAGCCTGCTTTGCTCGGGAGCCTGGTGTCCTTTTCGGCGGGATCAGGTCTCCTTTGGGCGCCTTGGTATACGTTCGGCCGGTGTCTGCTCTTCTTTTGGACGGGCTCTTGTGTACCTGTGGGCTGTGTGGTTCACTTTGGTGCGGGGTCTGGGCGTCTTTTGGGCGACGTCGGGTGTACTTTTGGGTGATCTGGTTTACTTTCGAGCGGATAGTGCTCTACTTTTGGGTGGCTTGCCTTGCTTTACTTGGAGTTCTGGTGTACTTTTGAGTAGGCTTTCCTTTCATTTCCGGCTGTGTGAGCGTTTGGATGGGAGGTCTGGTGTTCTGCTCGGCGGGGTCTGATACACTTGTGGGTGGTCTCGTCTACTTTTAGGCGGGGTCTACTCCTCCTTCTGGTTTGGGTTACTTTTGGGCGGGGTCTGCTTTACTTGTGGGTGGTCTGGTTTACTTTCGGGCGGGCTCTGCTCTACTTTTCGGTGGTGTGGCTTGCCCTACCGGGAGGTCTGGCTTACTGTGGGGCAGGGTCTGGGGTGCTTCGATGGGTGGGCTGCTCTACTTTTGGCGTCGTCTGGTTTACTGTTGGGCGTGGTCTGGTCTACTATGAGGCGGGGTCTGGTCTGCTTTTGGGTTGCCTGGCTTGTTTTTGCAGGAGGTCTGCTGTCCTTCTGGGCTGGGTCGGGTCAACACTTTGGCGGTCTGGTATACTTCTGGGCGGGGTATGATCTACTTCTGGGTGTTCTGGTTTACTCGGGCAGGGTTTGCTCTTCTGTCGGACGGGGTCTGCCGTACTCCTGGTGTGGTCTGTTCTGCTTTGCCTCGATGTCTCGTCAACTTTGGGCGGGGTCCAGTCTACTTTGTGGGCGGTCTGCTTTACTCTTGGGCGGGCTCTGCTCTACTTGTGGGAGGCCTGGCTCGCTTTACTGGAAGGTTCTGGTGCTCTTCTAGGCGGGGTGTGGGATACCTTTGAGGTGGTCTTGCACCGGAAAAGCATTGCTGGTTTGCTATTGTATCACATGCTATGCCATACCGCCGTGCTATGCCATGCGTTGCTGCGCTATGCTGTGCCACGCCATGCGCTGCTCTCCTATTTGACGCCTTCTAGGCTATGGTCTGCGACGCCATGCGACGGGATGCGATGCTGCAGATGTGGTGTTCCGCCCAAAAACCTCGGTAGGAGCCACGTGGTGATCGTGCGTGGCTGTTGTACACGGAACGACATTTGCTGTGCTCTGCTGTGCTATGCCACGCGATGCTATGCTATGCGATGGCCTGCTGTAGCTCCATTCGGTCGCTCACCCCGATGGTAGTCGCGTGGTTGTTTGGGCCCACAATCTCAGCCATGTAAGCGTGCACGCGCCTGGCACGCGGGGGGGCGGGGGAAGGGGGGGGGACGGAAAGGAGGAGGAGGAGGAGGAGGAGGAGGAGGAGGAGGAGGAGGAGGAGGAGGGGGGGGAGGAGGAGGGGGAGCCGGGCCCGCAGGTCGCCGGCAAGGGGGGGAGGAGGAGGAGGAGGAGGAGGAGGAGGAGGAGGAGGAGGAGGAGGAGGAGGAGGAGGAGGAGGAGGAGTACGACCAGGATACTCTCAGGATGTCCGTTGGAGACACCGGTAGTGGGCCCTCGGGGGGGCCTCGTCGCCACGGATGGGCGCACCTTGGAAAATCAATGCGTTGGGACTCGGGAGGGCTCCGGGGACCGATCTTGAAGAGGAAGGGTGGAGGAAGGAGGGGCAGGTGGCAGCTGCTCTCCAAGGCCCTCTCGGCTCAAGCCGCTCGTGCTGCAACCGCTGTTCACGAAGTCCCGGCGCCTGCGCCCAGCGCCCGAGCAGCGCGCGGGATGTCCGCGGATCCTCTCAGTGAGCCCAATTGGCTGGCGCCATATTTGCGGGATTGGCGCCACGACCATCCTCTCCGAGCCACCGAGCCCATTGTGTCTGGGTATACAAGTGAGAAACCGAAGAAGAGCGCACAACGTCCGTGGCACTACTACACTGTGAAGCAGCCGGCAGGCGGTGTTCAAGCGTGGCTGCTCGTTCCTTTCCTCGTGAGGGCCCCAGCCTCTGGCGGGACACCCCCTCCGAAGGGAGCAGAATCCCAGGCGGGCTTGGAGACCAGAGTCAAGGATGGCGTTTTGATGGAGCACTACACAAACATCCATCGGATCGCGGCCCTCTTGGAGAGCCACCCGCTCGTATCCACCGTCACGCAGCACAAGGTGGACAAGTCCCTGCACCCTCGGCGCTTAGACGAAGATGGCCGGGCGTCCAAGTACCACCAGTCCCCCTGGGATTTGGCAGTGACGCTCGCAGCCTCTGGCGCGAAGTTCACTTGTGGGTGGAGCACCAACACGATCAAAGATCCGGTCGCGGCGATGTGGTGGCTACTTGCGGGGGGTTCCGCAACGGAGGAGAACCTCGTCCAGGCGGAGGCGATATTTTGGGATGTCGCCGAAGCCGGCCGGATCTGGCCGCCCGGCTTTTCCGCTCCCACGGAGCCCTGCCATGTCGCCGCCCGCCCGGCCATGTTGCCGCCGAGCGCTTCCGCGAGCGCCTCCGGAAGCGGCAGCGTGGCGCCCGTTGCTTCCCCGGCGGCCGCGTCGTTGTCCCAGCCTCCGGCGGGAGACGCAGCGCGCGCATCCGCGCTGGCGCCGCAGGCAGCTTTGGCGAGCACGTCTGTTCCGCCGCCCCTGCCGTGCGCCACCGAGCCCGCGCCGGCGCGCACGTCAGCCTCTGCTCCACCGCCTCAGCCTCTGGCGGCGAGGCCCCTGCAGCTGCCTTTGGCGGAAGCGCCCGCGGCCGCGGTGGGGGCGCCCGCCGACGCGACCGGAGCGGCCTCCGCGTCGTTGCCCCAGCCTCTGGCGGGAGACGCAGCGCGCGCCTCCGCGTTGGCGCCGCAGGCAGCTCCGGCGAGCACGTCTGTTCCGCCGCCCCTGGCGTGCGCCACCGAGCCCGCGCCGGCGCGCACGTCAGCCTCTGCTCCACCGCCTCAGCCTCTGGCGGCGACGCCCCTGCAGGTGCCTTTGGCGGGGGCGCCCGCGGCAGCGCTCGGGGCGCCCGCCGACGCGACCGGAGTGGCCTCCGCGTTGCTGCCTGCGCCGAGCGGTGGCGCCGAGCGCCAGGACAACCTCGCGGACGACCAGGTGGGAGCGGAGGAAACGGCTGAAGTGCAGGGTATCGATTATACCGAAGATAAGGATGACAGCTTGTCGTCTGGAGGGGAGGAGCAGGACGTCAACGCCGAGCCCGCGCCGGAGCAGGCCCCCCCGGCTGAACCGCAGCACAGGGCGCGTCGCCGCTCGAGGTCCCGACCGGGGCCTCAACGTACACGCGACCCAGCCTCTGGCGGGGCGGACGGCGAGGTCGACCTCACCGTGCACGTGTCCGCCAAGAAACTGGAGCGCCTGTCGGAGGACCAGAAGGAGCGGCTGCGCCAGATCGTGCGCACCAGTGAGCGGCAGGTGCACTTCGGCGAGTACTGGCAGGGAAGGGTCAGCCTGCGTGAGCGCATGCCTCGAGAGGCTCCGCAACTGGCGAGAGCTCGCGACGAGCGTCGGGCGCTTCTCCTCGGTGAGTTGCTGGAGTACGCGGACCCGATCCCGGACGCTCCGGAGTTCATCGCTGGAATCCCTTCCAAGAACACCATGCGCTTCGGCGCCAACGAGGATGTCGTCAGGGCCATCGCCAGCAGGAAGATGCACTACATGCGTTTGCTGACAAACAAGATGGACGAGGATGAATGGCTCACCTTCGTCGAGGAGTGGCCGGACTTGTCCCCAGCCTCTGGCGGGTGGCGGGTGCTCCAGCGCGACGCCTGGGAGCAGCTCAAGCAGGAATGGCGGGGGTTGTCTCCAACGATGCCGAAGCCCAGTCGACCCCCAGCCACGTCCTCTCCACCCATCTCCCTTCCCTCCACGCGGTAGGGAGTCGGCGAAGGAGGAGGGAGAGGACGAGGATGGGGGAAGGGGAGGGAAGGGGGGAGGGCGAGGAGGGGGAGGGACAGGGGGCGGCACCGTTGGAGAGAATCCGTCGCCACGACTGAGGACTTTCGCCTGCGCGATACGCGCGACTACGTGAAGCACATTCTGGCACTGCACGATGGCGAGGCCAGGCTTGTGCGGGCGGGGTGGGAGCCATTCCCAGCCTCTGGCGGGAGCATCCTTCAACCTTGCTACTGGCACTACCAATTTTCGCGCGGCTGGGACACGTACTCGTGGCTATCCACCCACAAAGGAAACTTGACCATCCAAGACCTGGACTGGATCATGATGAAGGACGGCGGCGAGACTGGCTTGATGAGGAGCGACCCAGCCTTCGGGAACTGGCAGATCCGCAGTGGCCAATTCATCACGCTGGCCGAACTCTTCTGGTTCGGGAAACACTTGTGCTCATGCTACGACATCTACCGCGCTTACCTGAGCCTGCCTGTGTGGATCCAGAAGCGCAAGCATTCGACCTCGCAGTCCGCGGCGGGAGTCCTCAGGCGCAACGCGAAGGCGTTGCGCCGCCAGGAGGAGGGCAAGCACGGCTTGCCCTCGAACCCGGGGAAACGCGGGCGGCGGTGAGCACTTGCCCTCGGCGCCTGCGGTGCCGAGCCCAGCCTCTGGCGGGAGTAGCCTCGCGCCCAGCTTCGGTGCCAATGCCAGATTTTTTACAGCGGAACTGCAGATTCCGCGTCCGAGCGAAGCCGAAACAATCTTGGAAACAGCTTCCCTCCTCATTGTCGTCCTCCCCTCCGCTCCCTGCTGCATTAGTCCTCAGTCCCCCCCCTGCTCCTGCTGCTAATCCTGCACCCTCGCGAGCACAAGGGCGCAGCAAAACCCAGCCTCTGGCGGGAGTGAGGCTCGACGTCCAGGGGAAAGCTTGAGGACACCAGAACAGGACCGCCTGGCCTGTCCACCGTGGGACGTCGCTCCTGCATCGCTCTCCCGCCCTGTCCCTGCCCCCGGCTCTACTCGCCCCCTCCCTCCCGTCTCTGCCCCCCCCGCCCCTGCTAGTCCTCGTCGTCGTGCTCCTGGATGTCGACCAGGTCCCCAGAGGGAGTCATTTGTTCCGTGAAACTTCTCTCCGTCCTCCGCCCCCCATCCCTCCTCATCGCCCTCCTGCTCATCCGCCTCCCCCTCCCCCTGCCCCTCCTCCCTGCTCCTCCTCCTCCTCCTCCTCCTCCTCCTCCTCGTCCTCCTCCTCCTCCTCCTCCCCCTCCTCCTCCTCCTCCTCCTCCTCCTCCTCTTCCTCTTCCGCCTCCTCCTCCTCCTCCTCCTCCTCCTCCTCCTCCTCGTCCACCTCCGCCTCTTCCTCCCCCATCCCCCGCCCCCCCACCCCCACGCTGCGCCGTCGCTCATGCCAGAGAAGCTATCAATGGCAGCCCCGTCGCACAGACCCTGCGAAGAAGCAGGCCAGATCGCTAAAAAGTAGACCGGGCCCTGCCAAAAAGTAAACCAGACCCTGCCAAAAAGTTAGACCAGACCACCCATAGGTAATCCAGACCCTGCCAAAAAGTAGACCAGACCCTGCCAAAAAGTAGAACAGACCACCCATAGGTAAACCAGACCCTGCCAAAAAAGTAGACCAGACCCTGCCTAAAAAGTAGGCCAGACAACCCATAAGTAGAGCAGGCCCTGCCAAAAAAGTAGGCCAGACCACTCATAAGTAAACCAGACCCTGCCAAAAAGTAGACCAGACCCTGCCGACAAGTAGGCCAGGCCACCCATAAGTAAACCAGACCCTGCCGAAAAGTAGACCAGACCCTGCCAAAAAGTAGACCAGACCACCCATAAGTAAACCAGACCCTGCCAAAAAGTAGACCAGACCCTGCCGAAAAAGTAGACCAGGCCACCCATAGGTAAACCAGACCCTGCCAAAAAGTAAACCAGACCCTGCCAAAAAGTAGACCAGACCACCCATAAGTAAACCAGACCCTGCCAAAAATTAGACCAGACCCTGCCAAAAAGTAGACCAGGCCACCCATAAGTAAACCCGACCCTGCCAAAAAGTAGACCGGACCCTGCCAAAAAGTAGACCAGACCACTCATAGGTAAACCAGGCCCTGCCAAAAATTAGACCAGACTTTGCCAGAAAGTAGAGCAGACCATCCAAAAGTTGACCAGACCCTGCCAAAAACTGGACCAGACCCCGCCGAAAAGTAGACCAGACCACCATCAAAGGAAAGCCAGACACCCGCACATATTGGGCAGAGCCAGCACCAGCCATGCCCAGAGGCAGACAGCACCATTCATAATGGGCCCCAAGAGAGACGTTCGTCTCTCTGCGATCGCGCGTGGCCAAGCGGGCTCAAGCGGGCTCAAGCGGGCTCAAGCGGGCTCAAGCGGGCTCAAGCGCTCATTTGCTGAGCACGGGGTCTGCGCGGGGGCGCCAGGGCGCGCGTTGTGGGGCTGCGCCTCGCAGCCTCTGGCGCGATGGTGTTGAGATGCAAGACGTGCCACCAGCGCGCCAGAGACCATGATGGAAGCTGCAAGAACTCGAAGTGCGCGCAGTACCGCGCGCCTCTGAAAGGGCAGCATTGGAAAGTTGCCAGGGTGAGCGATATCTTGGGCAAGCCGACAGAGAAAATCGGCGCGTACGTCGCCGGCGGTTTCATTCTCACTTTGCTTCGCAGACATGACATTCGCGTCGGCGTAGCGAGCGGCGAGTATCTTCGGGCCGCAGCCTCTGGCGCGACTGCAGTGCGCTTGGAGCTTTTAGCGGTGGTCTATCTGTGCTACTGGCGGTGGTCGGCGAGCTCACTTCTTGGATACTTGTCGAAAGCATTATCCCGTTTTGAGCGCGCGGACTCCGCAGACAGAGCTGAGATCTTAAAGGGCGCGTGGTCTTCGATGGAGGCGGACGTGGACGGTTGCCAGGTCGTCGGAAATCGCCGGGAGCACGATGTTCAGTTAGTACCCCGCCAAGACCGGAAATGTATCGCAATCTCAGCCCCTGGCGAGACTTTTGCGTATCATCCTTACAAGAACCCGGCTAGTCGCCGCACTGGTGCGCACGAATTTGAGAAATTGGTGCCTGACGTGCAGAATGGTAAGCTCCGGGACGCTTGCGTAGATCTCGCCGAGTTGTTCGCCGCGAAGCCCACGTTCAGGGACGCCGAGAGCATCCTGCGAAAGCACGAGATACAGCTATGGGCCGGCGCCACGTACAATCGAGTCAGGTGGCGTGGGAACCGAAAACATCCCACGCGGGGCCTCCCGATTGCGGCCCTCTGGTTGGGCATCGGTGTCCTCTTTGACCACGATCTCAAGGGGGAATCCAGCCGTGGCGACGACATCGCCCGTCGTCGTCGTCGTCGTCGTCGTCGTCGTCGTCGTCGTCGTCGTCGTCGTCGTCGTCGTCGTCGTCGATGGCCTGCCGAGGAGGCAAGTGGCGTCGGCGCCGTCTTCGTCGACGTCGTCGTCGTCGTCGTCGTCGTCGTCGTCAGCGTCAGCGTCAGCGTCGTCGTCGTCGTCAGCGTCGTCAGCGTCGGCACGTCGTCGTCGTCGTCGTCGTCGTCGTCGTCGTCGTCGTCGTCGTCGTCGTCGTCGTCGTCTTCGTCTTCGTTCTCGTATGACATAACGCGACACCGATTCTCGGATCTGGATATATACGACAGCAGATGTCCGGGCCCCCCTCCTGCCTGGCGCCCCCATCCCGCCCCTCCCCCATTTCTCTCCCCCTCCCCTTTGACAGGATTTGTGGTCCGCTTTCTGGCTCTCCAGGTTTGCGCGGTGGCTGTTCAAAGCGGAGGGCCTGCGCGTGCCCGTCGAGGACAAAGATTGGCCCCTGATCGCTGGCATGGGGTCTGGGGCTGAAGAGGGCCTGGCCGACGCAGGTATAGATTCGCACGAACAGGCGGAGGCGGCCTGCGCTATTTTGGCTGTCGAAATCGCAGCCTCTGGCGCGACGCCCCCGGGGGACGGGGCCGGTGCATCCTCCAGCGCGACATGCGGGGTCGACGATCTCGTCTGTTTCCTGTGCTTGAGCAAGAACAGAGAAGCTGTTCCTCGCAGGGTGTTCCCGCCGCCTGCGCCCCAGGTGTCCATCGCGCAAGATTTGGGGTTGGTTGCCCCGGTCGCAGCCGCTGGCGCGAGTGCGCCCTCAGGCGAGACTCTTTGTCATGCGCGAGTCAGGGGCAAAACCGCAGCGACGCCAGCCATCGTCTCCATCGCGGCGTGGGCGATCCAGGAAATCATGCGCTGGGTGCGCGCTCCCGCCGCGGGCGCAATATGTAATTGTTGCCGCGCGTGGCACGCAGGAGGTCTATTTCTGGCCTGCGCGGTCTCTGAGAGGAGGCGGGGCGTCGCAGACTCTGTCGCGAGCACCCTGTCCTTCGATGCTAAGCCCGTCCATGCGCTGCGCGATGCAGGAGTCTCCAAAAGTGATGTTCTCCGCGCTTGGGCCTGCGCGTGGGACTTGCTCGATGGGCTCCCCCCGCGTGCTAGTTTGGACTTCGACGAGCGATTGTTGTCAATGGCTCTAGTTCGCATGGGCGTCAAGGAACACCTTCGGGGCGACGCGAAGAAGGACGCGGCTGCCCTGATGTTCCCCGATGCAGGCGGGGAATATTCGCTTGCGGCTGTGGAAAAAGAAACACTGGCAGCGATAGAATGCCATGTGGTGATGATGATGGCGCACAACGATTCTGGCCTCTGGCGGTGATTCGCAGCCTCTGGCGCGAACCGGCATGGGGGGCGGCCGCTGGGGCGGCTGCTGGGGGCGACCAGCATTCGGGGTGTCTGGTCGCGATGGCGCAGGCTCGGGACAGCGGCAGCGCTCGATTCTTGGGGCACTGAGAGCGGGGCGTCTCGGTGAGCCTGCGCGCGGACGTCGGCGAACGCGGCGCGTGCTTGAACCGTGCCAGAGAAAATTACACCTGTTCGTTTTTCCGCTGAGCGTTTCTCATCGTGCTTCTGTCAGATGTCCTTGTCGGGGATGTTCCAAGCAGCCGCTGCTGCCGCTACTTTTACAGCTACTTTTACGAGTGCTATTACTAGAACCAGTACTACTCCGAATACTACAACTGCGACTCCGACGAATATTACGTCTACTAAGTTAACTACTACTACTACTACGACTACTACGACTACTACGACTATTGATACTACTGCTACTACCACTGCTACTACGACTACTACTACTACTACTTCTACTACTACTACTACTACTACTACTACTACTATTACTACTACTAGTATTGCTACCACTACTGCTACACTTGCTACGGCGACTGTTACTACTACTGCTACTAATGCTATGACTGCTACCACCAGGGCCACTGTTACTGGCACCCCGCAGCTACATCAACTTAGCGTGGCACTGCTACCGCTACCGGTGTTGACGTTGCTATTAATGCAACTGGAACTGCTACCAACACAACTGTCACTTCCAGAGCTACTACAAATGCAGCTACTACCACTACTACGGCGACGACAACGGCGACGACGACGTCGACGGCGGCGGCGACAGCGACGACGACAGGGAGGGAAACGACGACGGTGACGACGACGCCGACGACGGCGGCGGCGGCGGAGCGACGACGACGACGGCGACGGCGACGCCGACGACGACGACGACGGCGGCGACGGCGGCGACGGCGACGGCGACGACGGCGACGGCGGCGGCGAGGGCGACGGCGACGGCGACGACGACGGCGGTGGCGGCTGCGGCAGTGGCGGCGGCGGCGGCGTCGACGACGGCGATGACGACGACGACGACGACGACGACGACGGCGGCGGCGGCGGCGGCGGCGGCGGCGACGCTTATTGTAATGATTTTGGCCTTGGTGGACCGGGCAGCAAGGAGTTCGGGCCCAAACTGCTACCCGCGAGGAGGGAATAGAGAAGGACGGGGGGGGAGCAGGAGAAGCAGCAGCAGCACCATCAGGGGCAAGGCTGCTACCTCCCCCCTCCAGGGGCCCGAGGTTCCTTGGACGCTCAGCCGGGGTGGACTTGCACAGTAGCCTCATTGCTGCCTGACTGCACCCCTCCAGGGAGACTCGAGTTCCCCAAGCTAGCTGCAGCTCCAACGGGGACAAGTCACGATTCATCAGCCCGAGGCTCCTCCTCTTCCTCGGGCCCGAATTCAAGAGCGTCCACGTCCTGGGAATCAGGCCCTGGATCCCTGACCGCGCCCTCGACCTCGGGCGAGATCGACGTGGAAGGGTCGAGAGCGCCAGAGTCCGAAGCACCGGGGCGAGGCTCGCTGTACACGGCGTCTGCGACGAGGTCATCGCATTCAGCCCTGATGCGGTCACGTTTTTTTCACAGGGGCAAAGTTCATGCTCGAGTCGTCTGACACTGGACTTAGAACCTGCCACTGCCGAGGCTGACGGGCGAGCTGCCTGAGGTAAACGTGCTGCAGCAACTAAGGATCTCATCATGAGCTGGTCTCCAGCTCCTCGCAATTGCATTTCTAAACCGCTGTGCGGGGCCCATAGTGTGTCGACAGCAGCATGTACACGTTTGATATGCGGGATGCACCATTATCAGGCCATGACGATCTCCATGCGCGAACTGCCTGACCATCCGTCGCATGCTTGCTCAACTTCTGCTCTGCGAATCACGCCACCGACGCGCTTGCAGAATGCACTCCTACCGAAAACGTGAAAGTCAAGGTTATAGCCAGCGAGCACCATCCACGGGAGTCACACCGATCTGAGAAACGCGCCAAGCTTGGAGAATCTCGGAGCATTACCACCTGAAAACTGCACTGACGGATGAGTGCAAAACAGTACGACGAGAACCGAGAAGCCGCTCATGTGCTCGAGCGTCGGCACGAAACCGTCGAGAGCATCTGAGCCCTCGGCGCAGTAGTTGATGGCACCTTCTTGAGGCTTACCAAGAACGCGATGGGCGTTCCTGTGACCCTGCGCCAGGAAGATCTCCCCGCCCTCGTTGGCTCGCCCTGGCGTCGCGTCCGAGGTGGATCTCCCCGTACCCCGAGCAGGATTGTCGAGGAACGTCAGCTTGAGAGCTCGCGCCCGCCGCGTCTACTTCGAACGAGTGCGACTGCAGACGTGGAACTCCACGATGCCAAGGAAAGAGTACTTGCTCATCACATCAGTCGACGTTGAGAAGCTCCACGGCTTGGTGCCAAGGCAAGTGACATTGCTGAACAACGTGGTGCAGGAGGTCTCGCCGTCCGACCTGGAGCTCGAACTCGAGACAGCACCGTTCTGCGGAGGAGCTGGCGGCTGGGTGGCAGCAGCTTCCGCCGCAACTGCCGCCGCCTGCTCTCGATCCTGAGGGGACCGCCGACTTGGCCGCCTCCGCGCCGCGCCCGCGGCGCTGGCCTGACGGACCCTCTCCATCTCGATCAGGATCTCCTCCGACGGGCCCGCAGCAGGCCCTGTGGCCGCTGTGGCTGGGCCTGGGCGAGCGGCCGTCGCGACGCCCCCCGCGGCGCCAGCCACGGGCGCCACGGGCGCCTCCGCTGCTGGGCCGCCGACACCGCCGCCGTCCGCCATCTCGGCGCCCTTCGGGTCCTTCTCGACGGCTGGCGCGGCCTTGCGTCTCTCGTGCTGCCGCTCCTGGGTCCTCTCACGGAGTGCCGAAGCCTCGGCCCGCCACTTCGCGACCTGCTCGGCCTTGGTGGCGACGCTATCCTTCACCTGCAGCAGCTCCCTCTCCACGATCTTCAGAGCATCGCGCTCCTCGGACGTGAGCTCCTCCACGGAATCGAGCTGCCTTGGGAAGTTCTCGTCCCACGTGACATTTATCATGGGCGGGGCTGCCGTGGGGCCTCCACCGGCACCGTGTGGCGCCCCGCCACTTTTGCCTTCACTCGTGCTGGTCGCGACGCCGGCCTCACGAGCTAGGGCCACCGCCGCCGTGCGCTTGTTGATTTCCGCAGGCGCCAGCGCGCGTGCGGCCTCCTCCTCCTCCTCCTTCAACTGCGCCTCCTCCAAGTTCTGCTGACACTTGGCCACCTGCGAGGCAGTCTGGGGGTGCTTGACCGAGGCGTCCTTCCACACGCCCTCGGCGCGGCGGACCGCCTCGGCCGCGCACACGGAGGTGGTAGCAGGAACTGCTGCCGCCTGTTTTGCAGCTGCTATCTGCTCTGCCCGCACCTGCTTGCTGACGGGGTCGGTGAGGCGCGGGATGGCCATCGCGAGCGCTTGGATGGTCCTCGTATGGTCCTTGTTGCCCCCGTTCCCTACGTTATTCAGGTCTGGCTGCTGTTGGCCGTCTCCACCACGCTGGGGCTTCGGCCTGTACAGTTTGACTGGCCTGTTGCACTTGCGACACGTCAAGCAATTCGGTTGCAACTTGTGGTTGAATTCCTGAGTGCCGCATCCTGCGCGCGTGCTCCACGGCTTGGACATTGCTGCCGTGAGTCTTGTAAGCAGGGCCTCGCTTTCGCCAGCCTGACTGTCTGTTCGAAAGCATGACCAGGAATTGAACTGCCCCACGAGCACCACGGGGAGTCGCGGGGTCTGGGCTTCGAGCTGCCAAGATGGTGCTCGAGCCCAAATTGCTTGAGCCAAATGGCTACGGACATGGAGGGACGAGGAGGAGGAGGAATGATTGTGAGGAGGGGGGAGAGGAGGGGGAGGAAGAGAAGGAGGAGGAGGAGGAGGAGCAGGAGGAGGAGGAGGAGGAGGAGACGGAGGAGGAGGAGAAGAAGTAGGAGGAGGAGGAAACGGATCAGGAGATGACGAAGGGAGGAGGAGGATGAGGTGGAGGAGGAGGGGAGGATCAGGAATGCCGTTGGGCATGATGAAGGAATACTTAGGACGGTTGAGGATGATGAGGATGAGGACGATGGTAGTGGTGATGAAAATGTTGTTGTTGTTGTTGTTGTTGTTGTTGTTGTTGTTGTTTTTGATGCTGATGATGATGAAGACGATTGTGACGATACTGACAAACCTGATGCTAATGATGATCATGTTGACGATGTTGGTGGTGCTGCTGCTGCTGGTGATGATGATGATGATGATGACGTTGCTGCTGCTGGTGATGATGCTGATGAGGATGGCGATGTCGATGCTGGTTATGATGTTGATGGTGGTGGTGATAACGGTAATGTGGATCATGATGTCAAGGGTGATGCGAGTGATAATGAGGTTGAGCATGTTCACGATGCTGACGATGTTATTGGTGATGATGGCGATGTTGATGCTGGTGCGGTTGCTGCTGCTGCTGATGATGATGATGATGATGATGTTGAGGATGACGATGATGAAGGCTATGATGCTGCTGTTGATGACGGTGGTGGTGATGATGATGCTGATGATGATGGTGATGACGATGGTGACGGTGCGATGGTGCTGCTGATGGTGATGAGGCGGGGGAGGAGATTGAGTATGAGGATGACGATGAGATTGATGATGTGGAGGAGGAGCAGGAACATGATGAGGGCAATGTGTGCGTCTCGGGAGGACGCGGCGGCGCTCGTGATAGGAGTGGTGGGGATGGTGGGGCGCCACGGAAGGGTGTGGGGCATCCGCGCCCCGCAGACCGAGTTGTGGGAGGAGCGCGAGCCGAAGCGGCACGTGCTCGAGACGCTGCTGCGAAACGCGGGCTCCGCGGTGGCGCCGCACGTCGCGGGCCCCTTCGGGGCGGTGGGTTCCCCTTGGGAGGAGGAGGAAGAGGAGGAGGATGATGAGGAGGAGGAGCGGAACAGGGGAGCGGGCTCCGTAGCCGATTTTTTCGGGTGAGTCCAACGGCATTGCTCAATGACTCGGGGGTTTTGGCGAGGGGAGTTTACTGCCCCACCGTTCGCCTGGCTTGTCCGAGCGCAGCTTTTCACAACGGCCCAGCGACCTCAGTAACACACCTTCGCTGCCACGGCTGTCCTGTCCAGGCATGGTTCCTCTTGCTCGCGATTTCTCTTGTCGACTGTGAGTTCAGTCCGACGGGGGCAACGGAGAGGGCGGAGGTGGGGGTGAGTCCGAATGGTCGACGAAGGGGACTGGGCGAGGAGGCACGTCTGCCTTCCTGCCATGTTCGGAATGTGGTTGCCAGAAGATTTTCATGGATTACAAGTGGTGCAAGCATTGCCATGCCCCGCCCGTCCTTGTGCAGCCGTCGATGCCCAAACAGCCATTTGGGGTGTGGCTGAGGAATTATTCATCGTCCAGTGGTGTCTCTCTTTCCGGGACCATGTTGCCGGCTTTGTCTGTGCAGCGAGGGCAGTACGCTCAAAGTTGGTCGTCGACGGTTGCACAGCCCAACGACAAGGATGTTTCTTCGTGGGAACGGGAACATCCAGGTTTATGGCAAGGGCGACCACTCAAGTCCAGAGGGTAATCATCGCTGTCGGCCGGCAGGCAGATGGCACCCGTTGCCGAATGGGTTGGTTCCACATTTTTCCAGTGATGAGGTTCTACCACGATCTAAGTTGTGTTTGAAAACTGGTGATGTGGTCAATGTGGCACGCTACGAGTACTTGGCGAAGCACATCGTGGGGCACTTCGCCCCTGCTGACACAGACGTGCACCTGGCGATCCCGTCACACTGTGGGGCTGTTCGCAGGCTTGAGAGAGCTATGGATGCAGATTACAGGTGCAGTCCTATATTCAAGCTGACGTGTAGTCTCAAGTCGAGAAGGTGCAGGAGACGCGCAATTCACTAGAGCAAGCCAGTTCCGATTACAAGGCTATTTGGCGCGGCAGCACGAATGAGCGGCTGACTTGATGGATCCTCTCGTTTCGAAACGAGAGCACACCAAACACGCGAACTTGGGACCGATCCCCGTCACTCGTGAGCTGACGATCTGAGAGCACGAGCGCGCGCCGGCGCGGGTGGCACATCGGGTCGTTCGGGCCGAGCGCATGTCCACGGGTCGGCCTGGACTGCTTCCCTCAGAGCTCTACGCGCCCTTCGACGGATGAGGGCGGCCTCAGCATCTCGACGGTCCGTCTCCGGAACAAACCCTACTTTGAATTCGCTCCAGCCGACTCTGGAGGCGTTGCCAGCGAGCACATCAGCACATTCGTTGCCGACGGCGCGGAAAACTTCGCGCTCGCGGGAACAGTCCAGCTCTTCAACCGAAACGTGCTGCTGGACCCACTCAACTATTATCTCCGCGCCCCTCCCCTGGGCAGCACGACAGATCCTGGCCCAAAGATCGACATTACGAACGTAACCAGAGCACTTACCTCGGGACCAGATCCTGAGGATGGGGAGGTGGTCGGTGATGTGTCTTAACTTTCCTACAGTCCTCTCGAAGGCCTCAGCGAACGCCGTGAGCTCAGCTCGGGGAGCCGTCTGATGTTTCCCAGGGACCGCGGCGGCGAAACCGGCAGAAGGTTCCCAGGCAAACAGGGCCCCGTCGAGGACAACAATCGCTGCTCCGACCCTGCGGCGCCGAGGGTCTTCAGAAAACTCGCCACCCGAGCCGCCCCCGAAGGCGCACGGGAAATCCTCGGCATCACGGGGTGCGGAGGCGAAGCTTCTGGAAGCTAGAGAGACAGGCTGCTTTTCTTCGTCGAACACTGGGCAGGTGTCGGCGCGGCTCGGGACGCCCCTGAGCCACAGGGGGGGGCTGGCCACGTGGTTGACCCTCGCCTGCTCCTCCAGGCGGGCGCTGTCGTCGTAGCCCTTGTGACCGCAGTTCTTCGGACAGCTCCGAATTCATTGAAACAGAATCTCCTCACCTGTGCCGCAGCGGGCGCAAACAGCATCCATCGCGCATCCTGCTTCACGAAGGCGGACACGCGGCTGCTGACAACCACGTGTGGCTGCGACGGCGAGGCCGACCTGGCCGCATTCGTCGGCCTTGCTGAACCTTTCGATCTCACAAGAGACGTGTATGAGGTCCGCACCCAGACGGAGGTCGTCGGCCGCTTGGTGCTGAGCAGCCTTACTCTGGAGCTTCCTGCCGATGGAGCTGTTGACCTCGTCCAGGGTGGCCGAGAAGTCGGATGTCATCTCGGCGAACGTGTCGTCGTCCGCCGTCGGGATGAGCCATGAGTGGTCGCCGCCTGTGCCCCCATTGCGCAGCCATGACTGGGCCCCAACCGATGTCGCATAAGGTGGCAATCGTGGCGCTGACTGGGCCTTTGACGATGCGCCGCCTCCTCTGACCAGCGCGTTTGATAGTGGGGGCGACGAGGCTCCACAGCCACGTAGCCAACTGTTGCCGACGAGCTGCTTTGGCAGGGCCTCCGTCGCCAAGGGCCGTCGCTAGAACCGCGGTGAGGCAGCGCCCAGGGCCGCGCCCTTCGATCGACCGCCCTGCCTGGCGACGGAGTTTGATGATGTCGTGCTCTGGGGCGCGCATCTGCTGGTGTCCGTAGAGCGCCGGGGGAAAGCTGCCAGTCCGCCATAGTCCCTGAGACACGCGACGGAGCTTGGCGATGCGGCGGATCTTGCTAATCGGCCTGGAGCGCTTGGCCGCCTTCGCCATCCCGTCACGAGCCTTAGCGCGGACTCGAGCCCGCCCAGCAGCAGCGTCGCATCTCAGGTCGGCGGCTGCCGCAGCGGCTCGCGAAGGCACACCTTGCCTGCGTGGCCCCAACGCAATGCCCTTGCCCATGGGGATGGACGAAGCAACCGCAACTATTTTATCGGAAATCGCAAGGCCAGCCTCGTTCTGCATCGAATGTCCCCCGTGTCCACCAGCTTCGATCCATGTGTCAGTAACTGTCCTGACTGTCCTCCACTCGGAAGATCGTGTCATTGATGAAGGTCCTGGTCATGATGCTGCGCTGGTAGCGAAGGCGGGCGTCGTGGAGGATGGGGCCTAGCATAGCCTTGGCCAGCTTGCCGCCGTGCGGGGATCCTGCAACCAGGGACTTGGTGGGGAGGATTTCTCTGGATACCCAGAGCCCATTTCTTTATTGCTTGGGGCATGACGGGCGTCATGGCCCCCGCTCCCCCCCCCTATGACGTAACGCTCCCCCCCCAGTGTGCTCCGGGCACTGCCGCCGTGCGCATTGGGATCCGCGCAGGTGTCCGCGTAGGAATCCGAAGAGGAGTCTGGTCCGCAGTCGTCGTCGTCGTCGTCGTCGTCGTCGTCGTTGTCGTCGTCGTCGTCGTCGCTCGTGGCTTGTGGCTCGTGGCCTGCCGCTCGTCGCTCATAGTCGTCGTGCGCGCGGACGCGGCTGAAGCCTTTTTTTATACCGGGCCGACGACGGCAATCATTTGGTGGGGGGGTGGAGGGGGTCGATGACGTCACGTTTCGCGCCGGCGGCGTCTGGGAATGCCGAGGAATGACGGAGGACTGGTCGCGCTGGCATGTAGGTGGCGATTTGCACCACAACGCCTGTGTACACCACAGTGCCTGCGTGCACCACAGCGCCTGTGTACACCACACCGTCTATGTACACCACAGCAGCCGCGTGCAACACAGCGTCAGTTTGTGCCACCGTGTTCGCGGGCACAACAAGCTTTTTGCACACCGTAACGCTTGCGTGCACCACATCAGCCGTGTGCAACACAGCACCAGAGTACACCACAATGCCTGCGTGCGTTGCAGTGCCTGTGTGCACCACGGCGCCTGTGTGCACCACAGCAACCGTGTGCAACACAGCACCACTGTTGCATATAGAATGTTAGAACGAATCCTTGTGACAAAATGGAGCGCTAATGGATTCCACAGAAAACAATACAACATAATCCTTATGGACGACGGAGCGCCGCTGGAATCTACGAGTCCTCCCGAGTCCGCCCGCATCACCCTAGCTCCTCCCATCTGCGTCGTCCGCTGTAACGCCAACCCGTACTACAGGGGGTAAGGAGGAGGAGGAGGAGGTGGTGGTGGAGGTGGAGGAGGAGGGAAGAGGGAATAACGTCGCACTCGATTATTAGCAGTTTCCTGGCGTGGCGTCAAGTTGTCCGCAACAGATCCTCACGTACATGCTCCTTCTAGTTGTCCTACGCACGCAGGCATTGTGGTGTACACCAGCGCTGCGTTGCACGTGGATGCTGTGGTGTAGGCGCGCGTTGTGGCGTGCACAGGCGCTGCGGTGCACGCAAACACTGTGGTGTACACAGGCGCTGTGTTGCACATGGTAGCTGCAGTGTACACATTTGCACCGGCGCTGTAGTGTACGGAAGCACTGTGGTGTACACAGGCGCTGCGTTGCACACGTTTGTTGCGGTGTACGAAGGCGTTGTGGTATACACGCGCGCTGTGGTGCACGCGAGCGTTGCGGCGTACACAGGCGCAGCGGGGCATATCGCCACCTACATGCTGCTCGCGTCGTCGTCGTCGTCGTCGCTCGTCGCTCGTCGCTCGTCGCTCGTCTCGTCTCGCGCGCGGGCGCGGCTGCGGTGCCGGGGCCACACGGCGGGGGGGGTGTTACGTCATACCCCCCCATCGCCCCCCCCCCCCCTGACGCCCGTCATCGCCGAACATACAAAAACGCGCTCACAGCGGCGCTCCCGCAGATGGCGCGTCGCGAGGAACAGCTGGAACTCCAGTGCCACGATGATAGTTGGGAAACCCCGTCTGAGGCCCGCCATGCACAGCAATGACATTGAGATGCTGCCATAGAACTTCCCGGGGTCGAGCAGGATCGCGGCGCTGCTCATAAACAGAAGTTTGCAACACTCGTCCATGCAACTACGAACAATGGCTGCCTGCAGGGGCGAAGAACCAC